TGATATTTTTGTGAGAAAAAGGCTTTGAAATCGTAGTAAAATTAGTCTCTATCACGCTTTATCAGCCACTTCCACTGTAATGGTGGTATCAGAGCAATAACTTAATCTAGGATGAAGTGAGCATGCAACATGTCCAGGAGGAAGATAAAGAAAACAACCAGTGCCCCAGTTAAGCTTCCTCATAACACAAACCCTTTGATTAAAGGAGCGTGTACCACTGACCTCATATCTAAAAATCACGTTCACTGAGTGAACTCAGATTTTAATTAAAACCAGAAACAAATAAAAACCAAACGAAACCAAACAAAAACACACAGAAAGAAACGAAACCCTACACCAACACACCAAGACAATAACAACAGGTTAACAAGCCTGTAATGTATAACATCTCAATAAAGTGTTTGCAGTATTCCAATCAAGGCTCTCACCATGACCCAAAATATTTATGGCACTTCCTTCACCTTTTTCTTGAGGTCAGGCTATAAGTATTTTGTAATCTAGCAAGCCTGAGTATTTATTCCCAAAAACTTAGAAATGTGTCATTTACTACACAGACTTTCAACTAGAACAAATAGTGCTTTCAGAATTCTTTCACCTAGAGTATTGTTCTGACTTCAAGACGTTATTAAAAACATTAAGTTCATGATGACATTATTTTCCTTAGGTTATTTTTTTATTCTGGCAGAAATCTTTTGGTAGAAACACTTCAGCATGTCCATATAGTCTAATATTACCCACATTTTCTCAGCTGAACAGAGCTTTTGGCAGTGAATAATCCCATGCACAGAAATATTTTTATATTTGCTTGCTGTCACCCACGCTTGATAACACAACTTTTAGCTGAAGGACACATAATTTTCATCTCGTTCATGAAGGAAACTAAGGATAGGAACTACAGAAAACTGAAGACAGATAATACCTGAAATCAATTATTTTCACAACTTTCAAAAAAAAAAAAAAGACAAGAGAAAAATATGATCTTACTTTTGCTGATGAGTTAGTCTTCAATACTTGATTTGCCAAAGAAAGGAGAGGTTAGGATGACAGCTGTTCATTACAATTCCTTCTTTACTACAAGAGCTTAACTCTGCCACTGGCTGGCTGGCCCATTTCTGTTTGCTTTAGCACAGAACAGTGCTCCTAAAAGCTCCTCCTATTGACAGCATCTGCCTGGATACTTCCCTCAACAAGCAGAAACACGGCTTTTCACAGAGCCATTTAGGTCCTGGGAATGAGCTACAAGTAAGGGAAACCAGCAGAAGTAAATATTTTGATGACTAAGTCCAGGATTTGGCAGGTAGAAATCCATACCCACTAACACCACCAGCTTAACACCAGAGCAGTCACATCTTCATGGTGATACAAATCAAAAACACAACTTCTCTGACAGAAACAGTAGCTCATATTATGCCTAAAAAATGGAACTCAGAAATTTAAAAGCATACATATCTAACAAGAGTACCTATTAATGCAACTTGGGCTGAGCCTTTGGAGAAGGAGGGTTCATTATTTGTTCCTTACAATATTTTGTATTTGTGCAATTAAGAAAAGCATTGGTGAAGTATCCACACAAAACAATGTATAATAAAGGACCTAAATATACATATTTCAATTATGGTTGACTCAGAAAGCAACTGCTCATTCTAACAGATGCCCTATATAAACTCCCAATACTCACCTTTTTCCTGGCACCCAAAATAGCTGAGGCAAATCTACCTTCTGTTCCCAGAAATGCTGCCTAAGGCAGATATTGTATCATGGCAAATGTACATGTCACAGGACTGCAACTTTATTGCCAGTGAAAATGATACTGCTCCATAACTTTATTTGCAATTTATGGGCTCTGTGGGAAATATGCCAGTAGGTTCTCTTGGTCTGGGCACAGCTGCCTGAATAGACGTGGTCATGTAATGCGACCAGACAAATAGAAGATGGAAGAAAAAGGTCTAAACGTTAGGTAATATATATATTTATTTGTTGTGGCTTACTCTCAGCTACTAATCAGCACATTAACCTTATTTTCTCCGCATGATCGCTAAGTACCATACTAAAATTAGGTCAGAAATTCAGATCAGATCAGCTGACTCAGCCCAGCAAGATCAGACAAAGACTAGTTGCCTTTTTTTTTTTTTTTTTCAAATCCAATACACTGTGTTTATCTCCTGCAAATAGATCCATACATTTTTCCCCACAATTAACCTATCAGAGCCACACATGATGAGACAGCAGTCACACTGAAGGTACATTAGTGCTACTGAGGAAAGACAACACAATGTATCCTTTGGAAGGCAAAATGTGTAATGAAACCTTTTTTTTTCCCCCAGGTCATTTTTCAGATCTTGTTTCCAAACTGCTCAGACTAATGCATTTCAATGAACTTAAGTCATTCAGCACAGTTATGAGATGATTTAGGTAAATAACAGCTGCTTCCAAATAGTGTTGTGTACGAACACCACCACTTTATTAGCTAATACATTAGTCATTATTATGTTTTTAATACACACAACCAGCCTTCTTCTAAGAGAGACCATCTGAACACTAAAATAGCTTCTAAATACAAAAATTATAAACCAGTTTCTAAAACAATTCAACTGGAATATCAGGTAATTTCCAGTAGGCACCAAGGACTTATAGCTGCTTTATTTTCATTCACACATGCCAAAGAAGAGTGTGGGAACCCCTGCTCCTGCTCAAAAATCTACCTGCAGTTAATCACAGGGGATGACTCCCTTGTTGCTAAGGAGATTTTTTTCAGCTATTGGTGCTCTCCAGACTGGTAGCACTGTTATCACTGCACATGTGCACCACTTCCTATCTAGGCCACAGCATCAGGAATTAGGGATAATATAAATATCCATCAAGATAACATAAAGACTTAAGGAATATAGAACAGCACAAAGAAGAAATCAATAATCCTACTTTACCTTTCCTATCTGCTATGTTTCAATAGGCAACGTGGTCTTGGATGAATCTCTGGAGGTTACTACAGGGAACAGACTCAATTGCAATCAGCCTAAGTGACTTCAGACATCATGGTTCCTTTAGACAAATCAGACCTTCTCCCTTGGTCTGCCATTGCTTTTAGTCTTTCTAATCAAGGATCACAAGTATCTATTTTTATTTTTTACTTCTACAAGTTTCCATAAGAAAAAGACAGAGAAAGAGACGTGAAGAGAATGTTTTTCAAGATGTCCTAAGGTGTTTTCCCTACTTTTTTCCCCTCAGACAGATGTTGTTTACCCCCTCAATGTTACTGAGATGATACAGGTGGAGAGGGATCAGGGGGGACCACTGAAAACACAGTTTCCCACAGAAGAGCCCAATATTCAGGAAATGTTGATGCCTCCAATCCAAATGCTGTTCCTCTAGTAAACCCACTACTGCTGGTCCCACTATTGCTGATCCTACTCCTTCTGTGTTCTGGCTCTGTAACTGAGGGTCAGAACTCTGTCCTCAGTGATATCAGTTTAGCATGAGCAAGAATTTCATGGTTTGGCTCAGCCCTAAATCATCTGTATTTATCCAGAGCTCTTCATCAAATCACTTTGCCAGGATCAATAAACAAAACCACACAAACAAACCACAACGTAGGAAATACTGTTACCACCATTCAAGTTAGGTAGAGCAGCTTAGCCAGAAGACTACAAAGAACCAGGTCAGTCTACAACTTACTCTCTCATGTCCCAACAAACTTCTTCATAAAAAATATCTGTTCTGGTGCTTAGTGGTCTTTATGGTCACACATACAACCAGGTTAGCCAGAGTACAGCCTAATTAGCTGTATTACCTTAAATTTACATTACTCTTATCACTCCAACCAAATTGCTAACAATCCAAGAATCTCCACTTCCTGGAACAGAAAGCAGCCATATTTATGCTTTACATTCCTTTATCTCCCTCCTCTGTCAAACTGCATGTGCTGCTCTTTTCTTTTTAATATTCCATCAAAATAATCAGACTATTGAGGCATTGCTTGAATGTTCACAGCACAGCATGTCTGTTATACCTGGATGTACAGTACCCAAGACACAGCATAAAATTTAATCACTTAAACTGAAATACAGAAGACTCATGCTGGGGGAAAAATTCAAAGGATCTCCCATCAGTTTGTGCTCAAGCCATCCATTTGCAAATAAAAGTTAAACATGAATTGATGATTGACCTGTATTACACAATTTTAGCCTCACCTCAAGAAAACTCTTTTTTTTTAATAATGCAAATGTATATGTAATAAACATTTATATATATTCCATTCAACCTTCTTTTCTCCTCCAAGAGGCTGCAACAATTTCACTGATATCCACTGGCACAAGAGGCCAGGTCAGGCAAGTGCTCCTCTCATTAACTGTCAATTAAAATCAATGGAATTGTTCAAGAAGAGCCATTATGGGGTTCCGCCCATCAGGGCTTGATCCATTTTCCTTTAAATGATTGCAAGATTGTTACTGACTTCACAGCTTGCAGAACGGAAAGGAAATGGCAAATAATAGATTTTTGTTCTTGTTGTTGTTGCAAAACCTCAGATAGTTATTAGAAAGCTTTGAAAATTTGCCAGATTTAAAACATCAGCTCAAGGAGAGTGTGAGGCTCTCCCAGTCTTGCTCACATGCACACAGATCTTTGCACAAAGTACAAAATTTCCATCTAAAAATCACTGAGAGGATGACAACCTATTTTTCACTAGATCTACACCTCTTATTCCAGAGACACAAACTTTTTGTTATAAATCACACCTGTTCAAGATGCCACACAAACTCAAACTGAATATATTCAGATGGGAAGAGGGAGGGAGGGAAGGAGGAAGAACCATTCACCATCACGTCGGTACAAGATAAAACACGTGCAAACAGAAGCCTGACGTGGGCCAGTGGTCTGCACTGCTTTTACCACCAAGCTGCTTAGAAATCAACTGGTCTACACATATTTTCCACATCTGAGACTGAGCCCCTCACTTTTCATTCACTCTGCCAGACCACTCATGTCTTTATCAAAATATTTACCGTTTTATTGCTTCTTCTTGTTTTCGACGTTTTTCACTCTTTTCTTTCAAGTAAGCCAGGTTTGTTTCATTCCTCATGCGATCATTCTCTCGAGCAATGTCTGATGCATTCTGTATAACCAAGCCATCATAGGCCTTCATCCCCATATCTTCAATATACTGGAGAAAAGCGCCCAAAGTGACCTCCTCCTGATTAGAACTCATCATCTTGCAGGAGATAATGAACAAAGGAAAGCAACGTTTCCTGCAGGTTGAAAAACACATAATACCTTAATCAGTAGGAAAATAGCTTATGGTTTATGACAGCGAGATTGTGTCAGTTGCAATTAACATCTTCATAAGAGACAATTTTTCAGACTTTCTCCTGTTTAAAGGATAATAAACAAAGCAATTCAGAACACAGAACGTTACTCAAGACAAGAGGAGACAAAACCAAGAGTCTCTTGTTCCAAGGGATGCAGATCCATCCAATTATACACTGTAAATCCCAAAAAAGTTTCCTGCCATCCTCTCCCTTTTTGTAATACCCATCAGTTGCATTGACACTGACATCCCTGAATCTCAGTTTGAATTAGACTGAGAAGGCTTTCATCACAGGACAACAGGTCCTTTTTACAGTTTAGATAAGGCTGCACCAGAGCAGATTACCAGACAAAATTCCTATTCTTCAGGATATTCCAAAGTTCAAGTGAAAAATACTGTTTAATATTCTGAAACAAAAAACTTCTCTTCAAAAAAATTTTTTGTCAGGTACAAAATCTAGAAAGAAATATTGTGAAATAGTTTCCTGTATTTCTCAGTAACGTAAACATGAGCCCATAAACCCTTGTCATCTGCTGCCCAACAGTTCGTTAGCTTGGACAAGAAATCCCAGCTGAGCTGGGTCCTTCAAAACTCCAAAGCCTTGAAATTCTCCAGACTTCCATATTTCCTCCACAGTTACGACAGGCACTTTGGTTCACAGCACCTCCAGCTGAGCAGCACGGAGCTAACACACTTGGATCCCCAGGCTCCGTGGCAGGCAGCCTAAAAGCTCTCAGAAAGGCCCCAAACATTTTCCGCTCATCAACAGACGTCCTGGGAGTTGCAAGAGCTCTGGTGTATTGACACATCAGCAAATACTACAGGAGACTAAAGGCAAGGCAGAATTTCAAGAGATATGCTGTCTCTCTCTAAAGTCTATTCACTGGATTAACTACTTAATTTAATAAGTAAAACAGAACTTCATTAAAAAAATAGAGTTGTGCCACCTTATTTTAAACACTGAGTACTGTAAGGTCCAGAGACAAGACAACCTTGAGTTGCATTGTGTTGGGTCCTCATCTTACAAGGGGGGAGTTGCTGCAGGAGGGACTGAGCGACCCATGGGCAGACCTGGTAGCTGAACTCAGCTCCCCAAGGCACGCTTGCTTATTCACTCCTAGAGCATTCCTGCCTTCCCCGAAGGAGGATTGTGTGACTTCTCGGAACCAGCCCGAGAAACCTTGCCAGCACTACAGCTAGAAGTGATCTTATTGAATAGGTAATGAGAATCCTGTCTGCACACAGATTTTTAGGGAGAGGGTTCCTGTGTAATTAGAGACAAAAATCTTTCCCCCATTTCCTGATATAATGTCATATTTCTAATCTTTATCACATAGCTGAACAAGTAGAACTCTGATCTGGATAGGAGCTGTTTCTAAATAAACAAATAAAATGCTCTTAAGGATTCTAGCAATCCACTCTGGGCTGTCAGGCACAGCCTGACCATGAGAATGCAAGGGATGAAAAAAACCAGAAAAATGGTTTTCCACTTGTGAATGCTTTCCCCACAGTTTTGGTTACTTGAAGTGACAATGGCAACAAGCAGCTGATTTCAGGCAGTTAATACCTTAAAAGTACACCAATAATTTTCTCCTGTTCCCCATGCCTGCATATCAAAATTACCTCTATACAATGGTGACATGACTGTTAAAATGATGAAGATTCAGAGTATGCGAAGGGTCTGCTCCTTTTACCTCTTCTGCCTCCCAGACAACCTTTTCTATCAACCAAACCTGAACACGAGCATAAGGCTGATGTTCAGGGTCACTGAAGTGATCTTTAAACATTTTCAGGCATGGGTATAAACATCTCCTACTAATCCCTGCAGGGTAAAACCAGAGAGGGAGGTCTTAGCGCAGCCCAACGTGCATGCCTGGCATTTCACACAGCTCTGACACTGGAACAGACTAGAACTCCACTGGGTTGGAATAGGCATTCAGCCATTCCATATATTCACCATAAGTGGCACACTACCTGCAAAGGAGTGAATTGGAACACTGACAATGAGCTAAACAGACTCTATCAGTGTTGCTGGTGCTGCAGCAGACATTGTTTTAGGCCTATTCCTAACCTTGCTGATTAAAAAAATAAGTTCAGTTACCAAAGCTGGAAATGTGTCTCTACAGCATGAAACCTGCCTGATTAAAGCCAATGCTAACAGCATAGACAGCTCTAACTCCACTCTCTCTGAACTCCTTAAATGATACCTGCTCTTTGATGGTTGAAGTCCAGGCCATTTCCCAAGAGACACCTATTGTACTGAATTTTCCATTTCAGACTTCTAGTAAAGCCTACTTTCTGCATATGTTCAATTAAATTGAAATAAACCTGCACAACAGAGAAACCTCACTCTAGTCAAAGTGGCAACATTGCCATTGATTTCTCCAGTGACCAGATTTACTCCTGAAATATAGCAGAATTTTTTTTACTGAAGGTAACTTCAACAGGTTTTCAATAAATGCAGTTCTGATTCATTTTTCCCCAAGACATAGAACTTCATCTGCTTCACAATCTCTTTTGTGGCAACAATACTACATATTTTTCCCTCATTGTTTTCCTTTCACTTCAGAAATCAAAAATGAGCTGACACTTAGGATATACTGAATCTCCTTTTATTATGATGTTTATTTTTTGAACAGGAAGATAAAGTCATTCCAGTTGCAAAAAGACCGAAATAAAAAGCTTTTATTCTGCTGCATGCACTGATTAGATTCTTTATATGCTAGTTTATTGCTGATGTTTTCTATTACTAAACTCATGCAGAATGACAAAAGTTAGACCCTGTTTAATAGCTAGACCAAGATATATTCTTTGTCCTAACAGAGGTCCAATCCTGCAACAGTACTGAGCAAGTGCAGCTATTGAGCTCCTCCCATGACTGTGATTCTTGCATGCTCATAACACCCAGTTCAGTTTGGGGTGCTTCCTGGAGGTAGCTGGGGAACACACACATATCAGGACCTTAAACCTGCACATGTGGCACCAACTCCAAAAAGCCTCTGTGCAAGCAGCAAGCATTTTCTGGAACAAACCCCATGTACCTCCTGCATGCATGGTATTTTACAGCCTCTCCCCATTTACCAACAGTTTACAGTTGTGCATGCTGTACCTAGGGATTAAAAATGCAAACAGCTGGTGCAAAAAGCTTAACTAATTACTGTAAACATTTTTGCAGTATTAGTATTCCTTGTAAGGCACACTAGCACCAATTTTATTTACAGGTATTAATGCCACTTCAGACATGCCATGTTACCCTAATAAATGTGCATAACAACTGCAATAGGCTGCAACCAATACATGTGGCCCATGGAGTCCCAGGCAGTGCCTGCCTGTCCCCCTCCTTGGAAAATGGCAGACAGCACTCATCAACCTTTGATCAAAGGTTCTGCTGACTGGCAAACTCAGGCACTGAGCAATTCCTAACCATCTGCCAGGGCAGATACAAGCACAGGCAAGTGTTGTGTTTGAGTACATTTATATTTGATTAAAACTATGCAAATGCAAGTTCTTAAATAAGTAATGCGAGCTTTAGGTGAGGCACCACCATTCTGGTGCCCCTAACATTCACACTGTGGTCAGGGACTTTGTTAGCCAGTGACAAGTGCCACACAGAGTCACCTAAGTATTTGCAATCAAATTGCTTTCAGTGCATTTTGTTTTCTGAAATCAATCAGCCCTGGAAAATTCTAACTGGGAGTTTCACCATTTGAAAAATTGTTTAGACACTCCTTTCTTTTTCCCCTCCTCATTGTGAAGGAACAAAAGGAGACAGCAGGGCAGAGGAAGAGCACCGGAATTCAGCTGTTGCAGTCGACGTGCTATGAAGTCAACAAAAATTGTTTGGAGGAACTTGATTCTGAGTGTTCACTGAATATGAACATCTTTGAAAATTCACCTGAGCACAAGGAGACAAAGAAGTAGTTCTCCATCATGTTCACTTTGTTTCTTAAAGGTCAAACTAACACGGTGTGAAATCTCACTGAGGAAAAAACCACAATCACACCCCATCACACTCACCAACACCTGCCCCTCCAGGTACCCCCACATCAGAGGGACACTGGCAAAGGAGCCCAGAGCAGGTCACACTGGCCTGGCTCGTGCTTTCAGCTGTCAGCATGGGAGGAGTAAAGCAAGGAAGCTTATTTTTTTCCTTCCCTGCCAGTGCATCTGGCTTACTGGCAAGGGCAAGCAGTCCCCTTCCTGGCTTACTTAGAAAATATTTACATAACTAAATTCAAGATCATTGTATTGATTCAGACAGAGTTTCTATGGGAGCATAATGCATTGTGTTTCACAAGACTGTTGCATACCCTACTTCTAATTTAACTATTTGCTCTGATGCCAAATACACAGCATTCTTGGTCAAAGCACAAAGCTCCTCCTTTTCATATGATCAGTGTGCAAAAATATTGATTTCAGAATATGAGGAGTAATTGACTCAATATCACAGCATCCAAGCAGCACCACACACGTGAAGATTCAAACATGCCATTCTCCCTCTTATTCACATGAGGATCCCCAAAATATCAGTTGCTTTTCAGCTTGCTTGACAGCCATAAGCTGCAGCTGTGCTGCGTTGAAAACTGGCAATGCTGACATTAAACTGAAGGAGCTTTTTGAAGTAATGACAAAGGCACTGATTGCCTTCTTCCAAAGCAGAGGGATTTTTTTTTTCTTTTCTTTTTTTAATTTTAACATAGGAGAACAGAGCCTGGAAAAACAAGTGGGGGGTTGCCCAGAGTCCTGAATCCAATATCTAATTTATAAAGAACTACTACACACCTCTCCAGTCCTGCCTGATTCCCTCCCAAATACTGCTTCCTCTCTTTGAGAACATATCTGCTTTCACATTACCCATCAACTCCCTCCACTAAATTCATTATATTAGAAGGATTCTGCACAAATCAAGGGTGCTAATCAGCCATTCAACCCTAGAGTTTGAGCTGTTGCATTCTAGTTGCTTGCAAGAAAATAAGAGCAGAGTAGACAGGCCAGACATATCCACTTTTCACAAACTGCTGACCACAGTAGCACTAATAAGGGCCTAATGGTATTGGATATACAAAAAAATATTTTCACTGCGACCAAGAAAAATTTAGTGATGTAAAAACATACTAGAGGTTCCTTTGCAGAACTTATCATAACTGTGCCTTATATCAAGTGAGATTTGAAATACCCAAGCAATTGAATGTTATGATACAAATTGCTATGACACATTCTTAGAGTTGCATCCCCTGCTCATTCCTAACAATGAGATGGCTTTGCTGTTTTCACACACAGTGACTCATTAAATTCCAACATCAAAGAGGAAAGACCTTCTGAAACTGGCTCCAAGTTTCCTATTGTATATCATTTGACAACTATATATGCACATATTTAAAGAAAAAGAACAAAAGAACCACTACCATCAATGGGAAGTACAAAATATGTTCTGTATTTTGACTGGGACAGACTATATACCTGGTCCTCATTATACTGCACAGCACGAGCTCCAGCACCTGGGCAAAATCACTGAAGCCAAGTAGTGCTGAGCCCTTCACTTCAAGAGGTTAAAAGAGTCTCCTTCAGTAGATTGAGAATGCTACTGCATGGATTTAAGGAAACAGTCCGTTTCTATGTGTTCTACCCCTCCCATGGAAAAGCTGTGCTCCCTATAGTTTTAAGAACTAAAAAAAAAAATACCCCAAGGCTTGAATTTTGGCTCCCTTGCAGGTGCCTTTTGAAAAGGAAAAGGTCTCCAGGATGTGAAAAGCTGTTGTTTACTTTGCAATACAGCAACACTTCTATTACTTTTATACTCTGAGGAAAACAAGGCATCCTCCTAACCACATGGATATTGGACAGTTATAAACCTAGGTACAGATTGGCCAGCACCTAAGTGCAGTTATGACATTTTACTTCCCAATATGATGCAGAAGACTTATAAACAACAAGAAAAAATAAAATTACACAACACCCAGACATATGCACACGCATTCTGTGTGCAAACAGGAGTGCATCTGAACTCAGAAGAAATCACGAGCTTCTTACTGACAGACTTATTTTTTCCTCCTCTTTATGAAAATGAAATGGAGATTTCACTACCACCAGCATCATGTTCATATGCTGTAAAATATTAATGGTACAGCAGGTCTGATAAGTAACTATCAGAGATGTTGGAAATTATTTCAATTAATTCATCAGAAAATATGGAAGAATGGTTTTAATTATTTAACAGGGCTTTTTACAAACAAAAAAAAATTCAGCTGCAAAGCATCTCTATTACAAGCACAATCAACATGTGAAGTACACAAAACCAGTCAAATAGACTTCAGCTTTTAGTTTAGCAATAGCTTGATTAATACATTCTAAAAATACATGCAACCTCATTATGCCTTCTGACTACTCATTATTTAATTTTGTAATATCTCTTTTTTATTCTAATTAGCACCATATTTCATTAGCATGCTCATAGGTTGTATTAAAACATGTACGTACCAAAATCTAAGTCCACGGGGACCACTAAGTGCAATAATCAAAGGTGACTTTTGCCTGTAAAAGCCCTTTCCTGTGGTTATCTCAGTGCAGTCGGAAGGGATATTTCAGCACCATAAGAAACAGATTTTCAGTTAGGCTCAGTTTTTTTCTTCAGTTAAAGTGCATTAAATCTTGCTGGCAGAATTGCCCAGATTGTAGAATTCGACATCACTGCAAGTCAATGTGTTATGTTACAGATCTTCTTAACATATGATTAAAATGGCATGGAAAGTTTGGCTTTTAAAAAAAAAAAAAAAAAAGCAGTGGGAAGAAAAGACAGGTGCTTGCTTCTTTAAATCCACATTCAGAGAAGAGAGGGTATGGATAATGGGAGGGTATAAACAACACCCTGCTTGGAGGTCCAGGAGAGAAGGAACTGGATGATTTTTACCCACTTTACAACACAGACGATTACAGCACCATCATATGCACTAACACAGAGATTTCTAAGGTGCCTCATTTGAATATGTTCTGTGGAGACAAAAAGAAAGGAATATAAGGAGCAGCAAATATCCTATCCAAATGGCTTCTTGCAGCAAGGAAAGACGCTCTCTCGCTCATTGCCACTCAAACACAGAAGGTCTGAAGCAGTCTGGCTCGTGGCATCGTCTCTCTCTCTCTCCCCCGCGACTACAGGCAGGCTTGCTCTCTCCGGCTGCCTGGCTCCGTTGGTGCTGTTGTCGATTAATCAGGAATTCTCGAACAAAGAGCAAGCCTACCTTCGGGTGCCAGCAGGACTGTGGGGCTCCTCTCCTGCTGCAATCCGGCTGCCCTGCCCGCCCGCGCAGCCAGCATCATCCTAGCACCTCGGACAGCTCCGCCGCGCCGGGCCCATGGAGAGGCGGGACGGCCGCGGTGCTCCTGGCTCCGGAGCTAGGCAACAGTCTCGCTCTTATCTCCACTGCACTGAAGTCTGATTAGCAAATAATCCAGTGGGGGGGAACAAAAACAAAAAAAAAAATCTGCACGAGCAGCACTGTACATCACATGGAGTCTATAGGTGGGAAAGACTACGAAACAACGCCCTTTCCCCTTGCTTCTCCCTTCCCCAAAAAAAGAGAAATTGTTCTTCCACGGAGATCTGTGTAAGTTAACCTTTAGCCCATGTTATGGCTCAAGGAAATGAGCAGCCACTTAAAAGGAACATCTAAGCCTCAGTTTGATACCTCATATTGATGTATCTTTTGCACTCACCCTCACTGAAAAGCAGTGCAAGGCACACAATTACTGCTGACGCAGATGAGACTGCTGCTGCTTGGGGAAGGAGGGGAGGAGCTTCTCAACCCATCAAAACAACCTCCCACCACCTGCTCCCATTGCACGAGAACAAAACTACGCCGCTCGGACAGACTAAGCGTGACATTTATGCCGTTTCACTTATATTGATATGCACGCTCTGGAAAGGAGCATTCTGTTTGAAAAGCATTCAGGGTGAAGCCACACAGTTTAATGCTCATCCAGAATTTGTGTAATGGTTTGGAAGAAAACATTTCCTTTCTTCTGAACTGGATCAATCTGTGTTATAGCTCCTCCTTGCAGAGTATGTGCAGTTTTGCTTTCTCTCCCCCAAACCTGCAGCGTGGACACAAAGCAAAAGCATTCACTCCCTGCGCCAAAGCCATGGCTGAATGTGCACAGATTGTGTTACCCCATTGTTAAATGCCATTTGATTCCTTCTCCTTTCTTAAGTTACAGGCATATTTTTCTCCAGCATAAATCTTGATTCTGATGTTACAGTAACAGTTGATTTTATTTCTAAAACTAATAACAGGAATTACAGTGATGGAACGAAATCCTTTCAAAAGTAATGCATGTTCACGTGAAAAGCTGTGCTGGTACAAAATAAGATCCTGCCTACAGAGCACAGGAGAACTTCCCACAGGTTTATTTCCCCCCCAGCTGGAATTATCAATATTACCTCACATTCAACAGCCTTCAAGATAGCCACCAAGACACATCGGAAAACATGGTGACCACCTTCATGCATTGAAATGCTAGCCTGAAAAAAGCCTGATTCCAAAACTGTCTCTCATATTCATCAGTAATTAATTCCCTGCTCACTGTAGTAGTTGCATGTCCCAGCACACCTCTTGCAACTCCATGCAACAGGGCAGTGAAACTTCCACGTAACATCTCCAAGAGACCATTTCAAAAGGGTTACCCTCAGGAAGGGTTACAAAGTCAGAAGAAGAGGGCTTGAAGATATGGAGGGTTTTCCTTCGTGTCAGGGAAAAAGATCTGGAAGGGAAGTACCTAGAGTGTAGAACTGGAGGCAGTTCTGGGAAGGGAGTTCTTTCCCTAGCCCAGAGGCAAGCCTGCAGTTCTGCTTCTGATTTTTCCCTTCCTTGAAGGATACCTTAAAAGCAGCTTTGGCCACGTGGTAACTGGGGAATTCTTTGATTTTCATCACCCTGAGATTCCTGTCACATGATATCCTCTTTTTCACAATACTTCTCCACGACTCTAAATTTGCCCCAAATCATGCACTGAAAACAGAGAAACTGCACAGTCAAATGTCTTTCCACGTTCTTTGACAAAAATATCACTGTAAAGTCATTGCAACTTCATAACTAACTTGAAAAACTACTAATTTTAATCTGAAAGTGTGAAACTCTTGGCTATGTCTTCACCACATGGTTCATCCCAGGAATTGAACTTACTCAGGTACAATCATCTTTCAGACTACATATATTATTACACCTTAGGAAACATCCACATTTATTGTTCTTGCACCAGGGCTACTGGGGACCATATCTCCATCAGCTGTGGGAGGAAATGTCCCTTTTCTTTCCAATAGCACCATGGAAAGGTCATTGGGATTATATCATGACCTCTGCAAGGTTGGTAGTTCCATTCCTGTTTATCACACACAAAAGTCTCTCATTTGCTTCCACAGCCAGATAACAACAACAGCTACCAGTGGAGAACCATTCATTCCTCACAGCAGCTGTCAATTCCCTCTCCCCATCCCCTTTGCTCCACATTCCTCCTGGAGCTTACAACCACACCTAACTCCAGCAGATGTAGATTACTTGCACTCGCTTTGAATTTCTGAAAACCCTGTGCAACGCTTCATAACACAGCACACAGATTAACCTGCTTTATTTATGTATGTGTGTATACATGCTCTCATAATACAACAAAGATGCATACAGAGAGAGATATCACTTGACCTGTGGCTGGCATTTGCACACCAGGAAAAGAGAAGATGAGCAATGTGGGACTGCACACTGGTAACTGCTCAGTCTTAGAGGAGTTGTGGGACACTCCAGCCTCTGCCTGGCTGTGAGTAGGCTGGAGCACACAGCATGTAACAGGGGGAGGGCAGACTGCTGCAGGAGGCTCCTTTGTCCAGGGGATGAGGAGCCCTTTCAGGCTCAGTGACATGCTCAGGGTTTGCAAGGCCTCAAGACTGCAGGCAGTGGAGAGACAAAGGGCTCTTCAAGATGAAGAGAATATTCATTTAAGATGCTAACAGACCACTTATTGACTGAGAACAACAGTCTGCCTGTCCCTGAAGGGAAGCTTGAGGACAAATGGACTGGAGTTCAGTGTCAGTGGCTCACTCTCTGCTTGGTTTGTGAATGGAGAAGGAAGGCTCACCAAGAAAAGGAAGCCCCAAATTTCCAGGAAAAGGAAGCCCCAAATTTCCAGGAAAAGGAAGCCCCAAATTTCCAGGTCTGAACATGCTAACACCTGGCTTGATGCAGGGACTGTCTATGTAATTATTTATGTTTATGAGGCTCAAAAAGGACAGGTTTCTTCTCTTTGAATGCACCACTCCCCACATCATCTGAGGCTTCTGTCCATGACAGACTGTTATATCTGACCAGCAGGTCACAGATGAAGAGCTCTAAGAATGGAGATTCCACAGGGGCTAAAAAAAATCTGAAATAAAACCCAGAAACTGAGAACTTAAACCTGGAAATTCCTTGACACCTAACCAAGGGGAGAATGATATGAACTTACATTCCTGCACTCAAACTCAGCATCCCAGCGAATTGGAACAGAGAGACTACTGAACAAGACCTGTCCATGCAGCAGCCCAAATGAGACAGGGTTCTTATCAGTCAGGTTTTGCCAAGACCAAAGTCTCACCAAGCCAGAATCATCACCATGGAAGCTAAGGGTGGGCAGTTTACCCACACTTAAAAATGCAAGGCCATCAAGATGCTGACTTTGGCTGGATTAACAAGTTGCTTGGCTGAGCTAACTTAAACTCGGTTTGCTTATTTCTCCTTTAGCCTGCCTCCTTGGTTTCAGTTGTTTGTTTGTTTTTTCCTGTTTCTCATGTGCTTAGTCCTGACTCTTAATTTTTATTGTTACCACTCTGCAATTGCTCCCACCATGTCATGCCCATTGCAGTATGGATTCATTGCCTGACCCCTGGTCACATCCCTTAGCCTAGACCTTGCTATTATTCTTGACCTTTCCAGAAGCTGCATTTAGCTTTTCTCAATTCCAACACCTAGCATCAGGTTCTAATCAGTCCCAACCACTAGGACCCATTTAAGTGTCTTAATTTCACAATAAAACAATAGTTTCCTCACAGATACTGTTATCATCTCGTGTGTGTGGCAAGTGAAATTTTCAATGATGGTCTTACCTATGCTTCATTCTAAGCCTCTGCTTAGTAATCACTGTGATGTGCCTTTAGCACCAAATGAAAAAAAAAAATCTCCTTAGATTTTTATTTGGATTTAAACCTGAGTTAACAAATATTTTTAAATAGAAGTGGACTAATTTGAGGAAAGTGCATAGGAAGCAAACTACATCCAAACCCAAGCACAGTGCTCACCATCACCTTGACCTTAAGAAACCGTCTCAGATTTTGTTTGTTCATGCTCTTAGTGCCCACCTCCCATCATGCTAAGCAAAGTGAAAACTTGAGGATCTATTTGCAGTTAATTTTCAGCATGACATAGGGAAATAAGTTTAGCTTTCAGGGCTGCTTTTCCCAAATAATTTCATTCCATGCCGCAGATAAGCTTTAACATTTGCACGTTTACCCCCCACAAAGCATTCTTAAAACCCTGAAAGTTCTGCAGTTGCTCCCTCTCCCATCCACATTTGACTCCTTTTGCCCCTCTCTCCCTCCTCACACACACACTGCTGCCATAACAAGTAAAACTACCCACACAGTGAGAGTAAAGGAAGCTCTCATTACTTCATTTCAGCATTTGTTTCTGCTATTTCACATCCCTCTGTAGAATTCTTTCACTTCCCTGCAGCACACTGGCTCTATCCCTCCCAGCAACAGACTATCCACAACCATCATGCACATTTCCCTCTTCAGAGTTCTGAGGAGGATTCTTCTAAAGGTAAAACAGTAGAGGGGTCCCTACTCATGTAAAAAGCCAATTAAAGTTAAATGCTTAACTGCCATCTGTGCCTTTAAGAAAAACCTCTTAATTTTCCCCAGTGATCAATTTTTTTCACGTGGGACCAATTTTGCTGTTATTGCTTAGGCAAAATTCCCATTGAAGTCCACGGGGAACTTTGCCTGAATACAAAATATGGAGCAAAACCCTACACTTATCTGCATAGATCACAAATCACAAAGATCATGTCCTGATGCAAGTGATTTATCCTACATGACAGCTAGTGCAACTGGGCTGTTTTAAAACATGATTTGTTGTAAAATATTTCATGATATTTACCATTCAAAAAAAAGAAGAGTCAATTGATTCTTTTTTCTTAAACTGGATTAGATTGAAAGATTCTGGCTGCTTTCCAAACCCATTAATTACTAAATGGTACATTTTCCACAGAAATGTTAAGCTATAAGTAGTTCTTCTGGAGCCAGATAGCTCCTAGCTAAAATCAATTAAAGCTGGTAAAGATATGTTTCCATGGTCAGGTCCCAAATACAGACATCTGTATTTATAGCACAGTGGATGCTGGTAAAATCCCCCAACATGGATGCAGTTGTATTAACAAAACTGTGCTTTCACTGTTCATCTCATACAGGGAATAGTAGGTAGGTTTGTTATTCCAGGATAAAGCCAGCTGTGTCAGTATGGTTTCACTCACATGATGCTCTATTTCTGCTCTAGTAGCCTCAATTTTCTAGCCCCAAAGAAGCTCTTTTTCCTATGGAGTACAAAGGCCAGGCAGTTTTTGTTTGTCACCTCCCCACCCTGCTGCTCATTCCCACTTTGTGAGGCCTTGCAGGGAACTGGGTCATGGAAACGATCCAGAAGAGGAATAATTTTGGGTGAGAAT